GCCTCTCCTGAAGCTGCTGCCCCCGCGACCCGAACCCCGGACAAGCGGCAGATGATGGATGGATGGATGGATGGTTATCTCGAGATCATGACTTATTTTTCTTGTGATCTCGACATAACCAAAGTCGTTATCACGAGATCACGACTTATGTTTTTCTTATTTTTTTAAGCCGACATCTTTCAAACATCACCCGGTAACCATGGAGACGTCCCGGAATCACCAGTTGGTTGGTAATGAGACTGACTACTCGTTCAGGCTCACTATAACTTCACCGACGGCACAGTTGCAAATTTTTGAGGTTCCTTCTCAAATGACGAACGCTAATATGACAATTTTCTAGCACCAACGGACAGTGTTATTTCCTCGTATCCTTCATTCGGTGCAATATATCTCGACTTTTTCCCACAGTTTGAAGTCTAACTTGGTTTTACAAACAAGTGCAATATAACCATTTAATATTCGTGGAATATACTTTTACTTTACTGTGCAAAATACACGTTTACTTTTCCTGTAACTTTTGGACAAAGGTACTTTAGATTCCTGTACAGAGATCTTATTTTTATTTTATTTATTAGAATGGTTTACAGTGCCGTCATTTGTTTTAAACTTCATTCCTATTTTTATACTTGTATTGTTCTTGTCTTCGTGTTTATATGTGATTGTGCAGTCGCAATTTGAGCAATTTCCCCCGGGATTAATAAAGTCTTTTGATTGTGATTCTGATTGGGACAGTCCACGATCAAAGTAAAATCTGATGCATTTATCCATGAGGATAATACTAAACCTGTCGCGAGATCATGGGAAAGTGACATGGCCATGTATGTGATGTGAACCCGGGTTATGAACCCTGTTGTATATTGTCAGGAATGTTTTTACGTACAAGATTCCGCGCGCACAATCGTGCGCGGACCGTAAGCGCACGCGGACAAGTGTAGATGAACTAGGCTTAAGTGTTTAAGTTGAGACAGAAACCTGTTTGCAAAGGGTGACGAAGGAGTATGTTCACAAAAACAACATGAAATTTGTTATAACATCAGGAGGTAAACAAAATGTATATATAGCTACTAACATTTAACTTCTGATTGCAAACGCTTATCAAATTTGAAGCTGTCTTCAACCAGGTCCCAATAACAGAGCGATGCCCTAAGCAGCGTCTCCGCAGCAAATCCCGCATCATGCCTCAAACTGTCAAACAAGCACTGACGTCAATATACCACCACGAATAGCAAAGAAATAGTCCCAGGCATATCGTGTCCCGTATAGGGACGGACCAGTCGAATTTCAAATTAGGGTTACATCCAGCCTAAAAGTTATACTAAATTATAAATCGCAAAAAAATGAACAAAAAGGAATGTTTCTCAGTATAGGAGAGGCTAAAGCTTCAGTCGCCCTTGGGGTCAGCATACGTTCTTTCAGATTAATTCACTATTATTCAATTTCAAATATTTTCAAAGATCTTGCAAAATCCCTTGGTCGTGACAGAAGGGCATTACTAAAATGCACCTATATGCGTCCTCTGATTTGGTGCAGGCGCCGTTAAGGGAGCCGTATCCCTCCGCCTCCTCGGAGGGCCGGAGCTCTTTCCGCATTGTACCCTTCTACTGTGTCTCCGCCGCCATTGCGGGCTTTCGGAGTTCAGTGGTGGGGCCGCTGATCTTCATTCAGGGGAAACATCAACCTGCGGGGAGTTTAGCGCGCCAGTTAGCAAGATATTTTTTTCCACCATCTTAACCAGATTTGAACCCCCCATCTTCCATTCTTCAGACTCTCTTGCTTCTTTAGCTTCTTGGATCCCATCTGACGAAAAACGAAGCAGTAGCGGTTATCTAGGAGAACTGGGACAAGGAGGAGAGAGGAACCATCATGGCTCAGATCCTGCCTATCCGATTCCAGGAGCACCTGCAGGTATTATGGGGAGGAAAATTGACATACTGGGGAGGGTTTTTGGTAGAAAGCCCATCGGTACGAGGAAGCTGGTTCATTGCTGTAAATGAATGACCTCTCTCCCGGCCTTATTTGTTAGCAGCCGGCGGGTTAGCTGGCAACTCGGATCGCTCGCCCAGCATCACCGTTGCTATGATGCTGGAACAGATCAGCTCGACAGATGAACTATAAACTATCATTTCCAGTGTTATATGTTGGTGTCATGTCTCATGTGTTAGGGGCTAAAAGATCGGAACTGGATTTTACATTTATTTTTTAAAAATTTTAGGCTTAACTAGTTATTAAATAGCTAGGATTGTGTATTTCAAATTAGTGAAGTACTAATAAAATAGCCATTTGGCTTATTTAATCTTTTAAATGCTACTTTAATTGAACGTAATGCGAGGTCTCAGGTAAATACGAAGATAAGCGGATGCTCAGCTGGCGAAGGGGGGAGATGCTTTCGCTGTCAAAGTCACCGTCAGCCAGGCCGCTTTATTATATTTTTATAATGCTGCGCTTAAGGCTTAAGTATGGTTATTTTTAGAAATCCGGCTTGATTGCATTAGATTTTGTCTGTGTCTACCACCATGCAGTATCCTCGTAGTTTATTAATACGACACCCAAACGCTGTTTGATGGGCGATGTTTATTAGCCCGGAAAGTTATTCTTGCTGGCGTATATTCTTTAAGAAATACCCGAGTGTATAGCGTTGTTATTACTCTCAGATAGTACACGCATGGAATCAATGAATAAACGTCTAATTTCTAACACGTTAAACGTTAACATCGTATGACCATTTCTAATGTAGAAAAGTAGGTTTACTTAACCATTCAAAGTTTTGTCGCATATACAGCCATACGCTCTGCGTAGTTGCCCCCTGGATTGTGCTTAAAAGGGAATACGTAATACAAAGAAAAGTACAATTTATAAAGTTGCCATATTATCGATAGGTGTGAAGTGTGTGTGTTAATGGGAATTAAATTTGTGTGTGTGCGCGTGCCCCCTTGATGGGTTGGTACCCCATCCTGGGTTATTCCCGGCCTTGCGTCGGCAGCTTCTGGACTAGGCTCTGGAGCCCCTTCGACCTTGCATAGGACAAGCAGGTATAGAAGATGGATGGATGGAAGAAACAGTACCGTTACTGTCATTTGTTGAAGTACATTATTTGAGCATATCCTGTTGTGGCTGGGATGTATAAAAGCAGGTAAATGCCCCTAGAATTGTAAACAAATATGAGTAAACCATAGAAATGCTTGTGGGGGTTGTAAGATTGTAAGGGTCTGATTGCTGGCTCCCTGTATTTCATTGACTCTGTCACTGTACTCAGCACAATAACCATAAAGTTGAATGTGATCTAATGTGATTCCTGTAGTCCTCTTGGACCATAGGTCACAGCTGATGGACAGGTGTTCCTAATTATTTTTTCTGGGTCACTGAAAGCTACTTATTAATAATGCATGTATTAGTCTGACTTCTTCATCATAGATGTCATCCAAGCTTTTTTTCTAGTTAAGTATATTTGTTATGCTGAGCAGCGATGCATGCTTAAATATTTCACATTGTAAATATAGTGTGTGACAGACTTGAAAATATATAAAGAGCCTCATATAAAAGACTGAAAAAGGTATATACCTTGAAGAAGTTGTCATTATGGGGGAAGCAATTTATATAGTGTTCAAGGGCATGAGTGAACTTTTGTTGGATAAAAGTATCAGATAAATGATGTATGTGTTTACTTAATTACCATTAACCCTTAATGCTCATGGCCAACAACAAATAAAGCAAATTTATACTCCATCTAATTTCTTTTTAGCTATTTGGCAGAACATTCTTATACATGATGCACATCAAAAGCTGACGCTCTGGAATATATTTGTCCAAAGTTTTTCCCATTGGCACATTTTTTTTTCATAAACTTTCAGCTTGGAAGATGCTAGCAGTATGTCCTAATTATTGTTGGTTTCAGCTTTGGATGCTCCCCTTGTCTGTGTGTAACCTCTATGTTTTTATTGGGGTTCCTCTGGGTTCTCTGCCTTCCAATTTCTGACAGGCAGTTTAGCCACATGGCACTTTCAATTTAGACGGCACACATTTTTAATGCACAGTATTAGTACTTTATCACTGTTATTAATGCATTCCTAAAAATGCAAAAATTGTAAAAAGTCGACTACACAGTATGCAGTTTGGGTGTGAATTGTTGGCAGTGGTACAGTATGCAGCATGATAAGCATGTTTGTGATACAGCTGTATGATGATCTACTGGAATTGTATTATTCACTGTATTTTAATTTCATGCATTATATGGCTATGTGTCTTGTTTCTGAAACATTTTAAATAAGATATTAGGGGCAGGTGTGTTTTAATATTTCAATAGTAAGGATTTGCATAAATATATGGCAAAGGAAAAGGCGGTGTAGGTTTTACATTTTAAGTAAATTCCCGCTAGTATATTTTGAGTTCATTTACTTGAGGTCACAATTGCATCGAAATTGTTTGAATCTTGGTGGAGTGTGTGTCCAGATTTCCCCTGGTTAGTATAATGTTAAGATAACCTCTGTGTGAATGGTTGCACTGCTGTTGGTTATTGTTCTTTAATTTGCCTTTGAATGTTTCTTCATTAACTGAACTTATGTTCTTAACCTTTTTATATTTCCTTCAGGATTCCGTGGAGCTTTACAGTAGCACCTATTTTTGTGTGCTGGGTTTCAGCGGTTATGTTGTTGTTTATGACATTGCTGAAATGTAAATGTTTTAGGAAGCAGCTTTCCACTCACTTCTCAGCTCTGCAAATTTGGGCTTTTCCATTTCTTATTTTACAATTTTTATTATCTTCCTTGCAGCTCCAAAATCTGGGTATAAATCCAGCCAACATTGGATTCAGCACTCTGACCATGGAGTCGGACAAGTTCATCTGCATCCGGGAGAAGGTTGGCGAGCAAGCGCAGGTGGTGATTATTGACATGAACGACCCAAACAACCCTATTCGCAGACCAATCTCTGCAGATAGCGCCATTATGAACCCCGCCAGCAAAGTCATCGCCCTCAAAGGTAGGAGAGGCGGCACAGAAGAAAAGGAGAGTTACATTCTTCTCCTTATGTAACCCCTGATCTTATCAGTTTTGTACAGTTGGTTTTGTGATTTTTGTTATTCCAAAGTTTCCAAAATAATACAACGTTCAGTAGTTTACAGTCATGCTATATAGATGGATCTATCAGCATTTGTTAAATTATTACACAGAGTTTTATTTAATGTAATTGATATTTATCCTAATTTTTTAATATTGGTCTGTCTTCTGAGTTGTTGTGCATTCCTGTGTTTTTTTAATATTAGGAATATTATGAATATATGTTTTAAAATTGTACCATGACAATTTATTTCTTTTTTGTTTGTTTTTTTTTTATGGCTTTCTTATGTATGCAGACGGTGAGTTAACATTTACTTTTCACAAATTGTGGAAGTTACAATCTTGTGCTGAATGGTCTTTGAGAACACTTTTTGGATAGTGTGTGTGTTTGCACGTGTGTGTGTGTGTGTGTGATTGAAGGTTTTAATTCCAGGAGGGGCCCTGGTGTCTTTTTATTTTGACTGTGATACCTCACATGAAGAGTTAATAAAATTACCTTGATAGCTTTCTATATACTTTGATAGCTACAAATATATTTAGTGCTATCTTTGGATAGTAATATCATGCAAACCAGGATTGTCCATCATAGTCCTGGCATTTTTTCCATCTATTCAGACTTTTTCTTGCCGCTGTGCTGTTGACTGATAAGTCTTGATTGGATGAATGTGTGTGTAAGTTGTGTTTATTGTCAGTTAAGGACTCACTCATTATAAAGTACCTGTTATCATGAAAAATCTTTGAAAAATTTAATGGAATAACTGTTTAAACACAGGTGTTTTACCTAAAGTTTTTTCTAATTTTGATTTACTATTTTAATTATAGTTAAACAAATATATTTGGGTTTTTTGTAATTGATGGTGCATGATTCCATCAAGGGCTCAATGAAGGCTAATTTAATTAGAAGGCAGTTTAATAGAGGGCTGCCTATGTTATATCTTGTCAGAGTAAATATATTCCTCCAGCAGCTATGAAAATCTTGACTGTATGAATGTTAGCTGTTTCGATAACCTATTTCCCCTTGAACCAGTGTGATCTTCTATCTTGTTCTTGGCACTTCAGTGCATGACTCAATTCATGTGAGGCCATTCTATTGTTTTCACAAACAGTAGCCTCAACAGCACAAACACACAGGCCAGTATTCTGGGTAATCTCTAATGGTCGTTCTCAGATAAAATACTGGTTTGTTTATTTACTACAAGGTACTTGTAAGGATTCAGTTTTAATCAAATGTTTGATTAAATAGTTGAAAAATTAAAATATAGCTGGACTTCCTGCTTGTCACCATATGTGGCCCAAACCACCATTCTCCTCTATTAGCACCTGATATGACATATATTACAGTTGATGGGAATGTGTATCTTTTACTTTGCTCTAGCTCATTGCAGTTTTTTTTTTTGCAACTGTAGCAGAGTTTAGGGCCATTTAAATATGGTAACTCAGCAGGAAATAACTTTGGTATTTAACTTGAACAAAGTGATTTGGCATATTTTTCAATAGGAATGGAATGAGTTTAAGTTGGTTTTGTTTTTTTCAATTTTGGTGTTTCTGTTGCCCTTCCCTTTTATTGTACTGATATTGCGTGAATAATTTAGCAATTGAAACAAGGTGTCACTTTTCACTAGATAAAAGAAGCCGGTCATGTGTTATGATGCGGCTGGCGACTGAAGGCATTCAGGACTGTGAAAGCAGTTTAAATTCACCTGTATGCTTTAACTTATCATATATTTAGTCCTGTGTTCTGTACTTATTCAGCCATAAAGCAAAACAGTTGTGATCATATTTACTGCTTTTCTGAATGACATACAGGTATTTCTCAAGGAAAAAACACCAGTTAACTTTTTGGATTTCCAGAAACAAAAAAATGTAGCTGGTATATGTAGTTTTTTTATTTTGCACCTTTTTTGTTCTTTTCTACTTTGGCATGTCTGCTGTTTGAGTGCCATCTAAGCTGTCTAAATCCTTGTGCTTCTGTAGCCGTCTCTGTTTGCCCTCAATGGGTAATTAGTGATTCCAGTATTATTACCTCTCTTGTGGTGGGATTTGTAGCCTGCTTTGCTTATGTTGTTTATGTATAATTGTAAGCTTAATTTCTTGGGTCCTGTCAATTTTCTCTTTGTCTCACTCTTCCTCCATGTGTGGCCACCAAGCTTCATACAACAAACCTTTTCTCCCCTCCCATTGTAAATCGTAGCAAATATTGTTTTTTTTTCCTGACTTCCAGTTGTGTACCTGTGTGTGCCTGGATATCTTGCTTTCATTATGTGTGTTGCTCTCATTTAATTCTCTGTGGTCAACCAGTGGTGCCTTACCTTACCACTGATGCATCTCTCTGTCCGTTCATTCAGCTTGCCATCTGCAGACCGCCAGCCTTCAAGCCTGAGATTTCCTGTCAAGTTTAAATTTACTGACTTACCCGTGATTATTATCATCTCTTTGTCAAGACATTGAAAATATATATTAGTGTTTTTTTATTATTTTGATATGAATCTCTCTAGATTTTAAAAGACTGGTGTGTGTTTTACCCTTATCAGTGTGGGCGTTGCATGTTTTTGCCTGTGTGTGGGGGTTTAAGCTCTTGATATAATCTGTGAGCTTTGTGTAATTCCACGTTTGGGCTTTCCTGCTGGTTCTGGATGAGTTTATTTCATTGCAATTTGCTGCAATTGTGCATTAAGATTACATTTGTATTGGAAGTGGTAGCACAAATTTCTCATCTTTATAATTGATAAATTGGCCAGATTTGTCCTAAGATCAAACTTGTGGTAAAGGATAATTGTATTTTAATTCATTCTCTCTAATGAGATAATGTGAAACAGCCAATTCTCCTACAAGATCTCGGAGAAGATCACAGAAGTCACTGATGTTTATCATTACTACTGTATCGGTTTTTATACTTAATAAATGTATAATGTTTATATAGTGATGTTATGGTCTATGTCCTCTATAGTGATTGACCATAGCAAAAAATCCACCCTGTCCAATGGCAGGGATTTTCTATGATTCTGTGCTGGTGTTTTCTGCATTTTTCTTCTTACCTCTAAGGTCTTTGTCTTTATCTTGCCTAATGCACTGTGGAAAAAAGTTAATGACTGTTTTTCCAATCTGTCTTTTTTAACTCTTGCTTTCGTGTTATTCACAGCGGCAAAAACCCTTCAGATCTTCAACATCGAAATGAAGAGCAAGATGAAGGCCCACACCATGACTGAAGATGTCACCTTCTGGAAGTGGATCTCCCTCAACACAGTGGCGCTAGTCACAGACAACGCGGTCTACCACTGGGGCATGGAGGGCGAGTCGCAACCACTCAAAGTTTTTGACCGGCATTCCAGTCTGGCAGGCTGTCAGATCATCAACTATCGCACCGATGCCAAGCAGAAGTGGCTGCTTTTGATTGGCATTTCTGCACAGGTATAGTGGGCTGTGATCTCCGTTTAGAGTGTGGCAAAGTATTTTTGTGGCAAGTATGCATTCAGTCAAAATGGAAGATTTATCAATCAACACATTATAAAATTATTCAGTGTATGAAACACAAACACCAAGCACCAAAATGTTATTCTGCTGGTCTTATATAGTAGTGATAAATTCTGAAAACATTCACCACAACTTCTCTTGAAAAGCAGCTCCATCTCATAATGTTGCCATATATACAGGTCTGTCTCCTTTGGTTTGTTATTTAATGAATTTAATGAGTTCCTTTTGCTTTTTAGCAAAACCGTGTCGTTGGTGCCATGCAGTTGTACTCTGTGGACAGGAAGGTCTCCCAACCCATAGAGGGCCATGCTGCTAGCTTTGCTCAGTTTAAAATGGAGGGCAATGCAGAGGAGTCCACTCTCTTCTGCTTTGCTGTTCGAGGTCAAGCTGGGGGGAAGGTATGATTATGAGGGGGATGGCACAGTGGGGGGCCTCTGGGGTAAATGACCCTGGAAATGATCTTGATTTTCTTCATCAGTTATATTAAAGCTATAATATATGTGATGATCCACGAATAAGGAAGAAAAGCCAGGGTTTTTGTGCGTGTGTGCGATCTAGATGCTGATACCTGTTGAAAATAACTAACTAATAGTGAAAATTTCTGTATATGTGTTGTTCTGCAGACGTTTTGTACTTTTATTTTTGCTTAGTTACATATTATTGAAGTGGGAACGCCACCGACAGGGAACCAGCCTTTTCCGAAGAAAGCCGTGGATGTGTTTTTCCCTCCTGAGGCCCAGAACGACTTCCCCGTTGCCATGCAGGTATTGCAGGTCTCCTTGTATCTAACCAAAGCTCTTTCGTGTTGCACGCTGAGCACTCTGGTTTTGCACTCGGTCTGTCTCTCATGGGCATCACATCTCTATCTCACAGATCAGTATATTACTTTCTCCTACAGATAAACTCTAAACTGCTTCAGCTGCTGACGTGATTTGCGAGATATCCTGCATCCCAGTGACCGTTAACATTCGAGGAAAATATGCTGAACGAGGATTACAAATTCTTTTTTCTCTCCCATTTAAGACTCACAATGTAATGTCCATGTTTTTGGGTAATTTGAGACTCAGTGGCTCAAATTCCTAGGTCACAGAATGATTTCACCCTTGAGCGAGACACTTAACCCCAAATCTTCCCCCAGTTCTATATCACTTTGCATAAAAAACTTCTGCTAAATAAATAAATGTAATGTAATGTTTCTCCCACTTCATACCCCTGCATCTCTCTAGATAAGTTCCAAGCAGGATGTTGTCTTTCTCATCACCAAATACGGTTACATCCATCTGTATGACCTGGAGACGGGTACCTGTATCTACATGAACAGGATCAGTGGGGAGACCATTTTCGTCACGGCTCCCCATGAAGCCACTGCTGGCATCATTGGAGTCAACAGGAAGGGACAGGTATCATTTTCCGCTCCTTGTGTTGTGTCTCGCAGACCACCCATGCTGTGCAGGATGCAATATCTCTAAGGCAGTGGTGTGGCTGTAAGCCTAGGATTAGTCACAGGTTGCACAGCTGCTGGGTTATGAATAGTAGCTGAAATACATTTCCTATACAGTTCTTTTAATAGCAAATCAAACCTTTCTGCTACATTAGTTTTCATTTTATTGCGACTGTGTGATTGTCCGTCACAGCATCCATTGTGCAACACCGTTTGTTTACTGCACTCCAGGTATGGAAACTCTTTTGCATTATGCAGAAGGTTGGCTGTTGACTTGGCTACTGGCTGATGTTGGCAGACAAGCTCCAGAACTCATGAATGTACTCTCCAGTACTATTTTGGGGGCTACCTTGTTGCACTTTTAACACCTTACATCTTTGCTGATTACTATCATGCTTCTAGCTGGATGCTAACTAGGCATTACGATGTCCTCATCATTTTTATATATTAAGCAATTCTTTGTTTTCAAAATTGCATGTCAACACATTTGTAGCTTTATCTTGTTTTTAATTCATGTTTTGGTATCTTCAGATCAGGTAAACTGGGAGAAATTGAGAATAAGCTTTTTTTTTTAATAATTTATGGGTTTTGCAAGGAAAAAACTGTAAACTTGGTGGTAATTTTCCATTGAAACAGAAGAGTATGATTAGCTGAGTAAACAAGCAGGAAGGCTCTTGCAGTCTCTCCTCTCATTTATGGACACCTGATCTTGACCAGTAATAAATAATTCTTCCATGAACCACTGATGTCCATCAAATATTTAGTGGTGCTGAAATGGGATATAGACCTATTTGATGGGCTCTACATGTTACTCCAAGCAATAGATCACCCTTAATGCTTCCATCTTCTCAATGACTCCTGTTGGCTGAGTCAATATAGTTAGTGATAGTCTGGCTCTAGAATATTTCTCAGTGTTTCCTTAAACTTCACCCTGGTATTTGTGCTCACTTTGCTATTCTGATCAATAACATTTTCACCCCTGGCTTCCCCTCTGGCTGAATAATGGTGCAAAATGGGAAAAGATATGCCAGTGTCCTTGTGTGTAAAATCTCCCTAGTGCCACATCCTTAGCACATTCATAGTGGAAACACCCCCTGCTGGGCCTGCTTGTGATAGATCTGGGGAAGCATAATTAAGCCTAATCCTTGAGACCTTGAGATAATCTTCACCAATCTCTCCATTTCTTTCCATAACTGCTGATCCTTTACAGGGTCACAGTGAGTCTGGAACCTATTCCAGGTAGCATAGGGCACAAGGCAAGCGACACTTTGGACAGGATGCCAGGCTGTCGCAGGACACAGGCTTACATGCAAGGAGGACTTCAGAGACCCCAACTCACCTAACCGCATGTTTTTAGACTGTGGGCGAAAACCCACACAAATACGGGGATGCATGCCAGCTCCACACACGGTGCCTTGGGTTACATTTGCACCGCCACCCCTGTTATTGTTCATATACAGTATATCTCTTTCTTAACTCTCTGGGGTCGAGTATGTCGTCGGCGACATCGCGTACTTTTCGCGTCTATTTCAGTTTATATCTCGCTGAAATCTTAATGTAGAATCATGAAAAAAACGCTGGATAAATCCGTAATCTGTCTTCTTTTCAAAACGTCCATTGTCGGAAGTATTAAAGTTTTTTTAATTAGGTTAAATCGGCAAAAAAGTAAACCTTGTCATCTTACTTTGTTTTACCTTCATCGGGGGCGTGTAGTACCGCTCTCACCTGAAGATCGCTATTCACATTCTAAATAGCCACATTAGCGCGTATTCAAATCGCATTCGCATGGTAATTTGATTAACAGCGCAACGGTGAAACGCGATCCAGATACATCCCCTTCAGCGCCATAAAAGGGGGTTGGGGACGTGGCCAGGTGACAATGGCTCATTCATACACATGAAAGTTGCTACATATTCAATGAAAGGAGCCAGAAATAGTTACATGAGTTAGGTTTTTCTTATTTATTTATCCAAATGAATGTTGCAACTACACCATTTAGTCATCTTCATGTAGCCAAGACTTTGGTGATCAGATATCTGGGATCAAAACAAACTGCCAGCATTGCTTACTATGTACTTTTATAATGTTTCTGCAAGTGTTCCAAACTGCATTTTGCAATGTCTATACTTTGAATGTCAAATTACAAACTTCACATAAATTGACATATTTACAAAGTACACTAAGATTAAGATGAGTTTGTTGCCAAACCAAATATATAAGAAATAATTTATTTGTCATGAATTAAGTTTATGATATTTGAAGAAATGTGTGATCATGCCCCAGTCAGTGAAAGTGTGTTTCCTACCCCTAGGCTCCAGAGGGTTAAGGCGTTATTGGGACTGTGTACTCCTTTAGCTTGTTGTACTGTCAGCCTATTCAAAGTTATTATTTTTTTTCCCCCTCTTTTTTCCAACCATTGATTAACGTCTCTTTGCTGAGTGAAGCTATCCCATTTTGGGCCTGTGTGTATTTATCACTGTTATTTGCACTTGCAGGTGCTTTCAGTGTGTGTGGAGGAGGAGAACATCATTCCCTACATCACCAACGTGCTGCAGAACTCCGACTTGGCCCTGCGAATGGCCGTCCGCAACAACCTGGCTGGGGCTGAGGAGCTCTTCGCACGCAAATTCAACAATCTCTTTGCAGGAGGAAGCTACTCAGAGGCCGCAAAAGTGGCAGCTAATGCACCAAAGGTAACTCAAATGTCGCATGCAGTTGTAATCTGTAAGAAAATATTTAATTTAGTGTTCTATGACATGCCATAGGCTAATTCAGGCTAACAGTGGTGTTTCCCAGGGAGGGAAGGCTGACATTCTCTTTTTTTCAGGGTATTCTGCGGACCCCTGATACCATCCGTCGCTTCCAGAGTGTCCCAGCCCAGCCTGGCCAGACGTCCCCCTTGCTGCAGTATTTCGGCATCTTACTGGACCAGGGCCAGCTCAACAAATTCGAGTCTCTGGAGCTTTGTAGGCCTGTTCTGCAGCAAGGCCGCAAGCAGCTTCTAGAGAAATGGCTGAAAGAGGACAAGGTATCGGTGATGTGAGGGAGTTTTTGTGTTCATGTTTAGTTCACATGTAGTTTCTTTCATTATTTCATCTTAGAGCCAAAGGGGCCATCCAGATTTTTCTGGACTGTGGCATGTGTTAAGGAATTCACTTTTCCTGGTAATTAGTGGTCCAAGCAACAAGGTGGCGCTATAATATATTTTTTTTCATTTGGCCAATTTCTCAAGAACCATACAAAATACAATCAAATTCCTCATACCATCTGGAAGAGTCATTCAAACCCAGTCTAATGGCATTAAAAACCACATTCAGGTGATCTCCGATCCTCTGTGATTTTGAAAAAATTTAATTCTAAAGCAAACTCATCCTAGACACTCAATTTACACAAAACTTCAAAAGGATCTTCAGATTTTGTTAAAGAAATTTCAATAAGTCCAAAGGTTTTCCCATAGTAATCTTATGAATAAAAAAAATTTGTCTACATAATCACGTGCATCTTCTGATTCGCATGAACCAGTGCAGAATTTTGTGGATGATACCAAATTTTGGTACAGTTACTGTAGGTCTTTAGGGAGCACTGTAATTGCATAATATGTATATGTAGAATATACTTTTGGGTTAGAATTACAATTCAGATGTCCTCTTGCTAAGTAATACTTAATGTATGGATCAACAGCATTTGATATCAGCTATCATGGGAATTCTGCCATTTTGAAAAAATTATATTAAGTCGGTTAATGTCTTGTATCTTTGGAAGGTACTGCCTAATTTTCATGAAACTTGACCGGTATAATTAGGACAACATTCTGTGGAATGGTCTGATCTAAATTTTCATAAATATTCTCCTCTAGCTGATGCTGCAGTAAAGCGTTTTATGAATGGGCAAATATCACAAGAATTACACGCAAGGATCAAAGTTCTGCATTCATCTGAATGTGCCTATATGGCTGAAACTAAGTATCTCAAATACTTTGTCTTCCATCTTGAATATCCCGCTTTGAATTGTATGGAAAAATAATTTGAAGATTAACTTGTCCTTGACCATTGGCCCAATTTGCACAAAATTTGACAAGAATCATCTATTCAGACTCATGATTAAAAGTTGTTTAAGGATACAGCAAACCATTAACATAATACATTCATTACCTAAGTGTCTTGTATTTTTGTAACACAAGGCGCAATTCTCACAAAATTTGAAAGTTACATTTAGAAGGACATTCCAAGTAAGATGTCCAGTTTACAAGACGATACTCAGTACTTCAGAATTTTAAAAAAATCCTGTATTTCACAAACACATTGATATCAAAGCAATTTTCTTTAAAACATTCTAAGAGGAAACCCAGCATCTCCAATGACCTGGTGTATAAACCCAGTAAAGGCTGTAAAGGCTTTACCTTTAAGTACCTTTAAGGAAAAAAAAATCACATTTTAAGGAAAAAAATGTAAAAGGAAAAAATCACAAATTTGAATGGGGGAAAAAAAATAAAAAATTAGAAAAAAATACAAAAGTTGTCCAGATTGCATATATCTGGCACAAAGGCTTTCAGATGATGCAATCCTATGAAACTGCCACCAAGTCGGCAACCTTGAGAAAGCTGAGGCATTTCACATTTATGATCATGACTCAGAAGTTGACTTTAAAATTTTTAAAAAATGCATAATTCCTTGGGTCAGTATGAATCATTTGACATTGATAAAGCCCACTTTGTTAAATGACCAATAATGTTACAAGTTCTCACAGAACTGAGTGTGGACCACCTACAGACCATGCTGATCAAAGGTTGTTATATCAACCTATGAAGTACAGGCTTACAAAGTTTTTAGAAAATTACAATTTTTTTTAAATTCTCTAGACCTCCTTTTCCCTCAGTCTTGATTTCATAGCTGCTTGTTCCCACATTATTGGCCAGTACCTTTTCAAGGTAATGTCTGGTTTTGACAAAAAAAATCCTGTAGTTTCAAATTTTGGTGCACTTTAGATTATCTCTTATTTTTACTTTAAAAAAAATCATGAAAGTTGGTTTATCCCTTGTTTTACAAAAAAATGTCTCACCTTAATAAATGCATCTGATTATATAAAATGGAGAGCAATTTATGCCAAGATCGCACATCTGAGAGAGCTTGGACCCTGGTAATTGTCTCTTGTGGCTATATTTCTCTTTAAAATGCCATCAGTATTCATGAGTTACAGGAATGCTTAATTGCAATGCATCTGGCTTTAAAGTGAATGATTAACTGTGGTTTTTGGTAAAAAATTGCTTAAGTAATTGTACCCTTTAGATGGAACTTTTGCGGACTTAAATCCTTTTTTTTGTCTCTGTGTGTGCCCCCGTAGCTGGAGTGTTCAGAAGAGCTCGGAGATCTGGTGAAATCTGTGGATCCTACTCTGGCCCTCAGTGTCTACCTGAGAGCAAATGTTCCAAACAAAGTGATCCAGTGCTTTGCAGAGACAGGACAGTTCCAGAAGATAGTATTGTATGCCAAAAAGGTGAAATATACCGTAGTATTCTTTGACATTTTAGACAGTAGTTCAGCTGGGGTCTTGGATAAAATGGGAGCTGTAATACACAGTTGTGGATTTATTGAGCCAAGAAGCAATTAAGGCATTTTAGCTGCTATTAGGGGAGTAAGTTGTTGGTCCCAAGTTGATCAGATTCAATTACAGTTTTTGAGGGAATGATTAGATGCATTCGATGCATCTTTAATTTGCTGTCAGTATTCTCTGTGATTAATCAATTATTTTGACAACCTAAATTCAAACTTCAATGAAAATATTTCACAAATATTACTCTGGGAACTTAATTGCACACTATTAATAGAATAAAAGAAAAAAACAGTTACTTTTTTGAGCTTGCTGGAAAACAAAAGATTGATTTGCGGGTCAGATTTATTAATATAATACAATTTCATATAATATAATAAATATATTTATTTATATTTCATAAATATAAATAAATATGACAACAAAATCCCTTGTCCTTCACTAAGGAAAATGGCTGATCGTCTAATACATCATCTCCGTTATTTTAGTAGTTGCATTTAGTGCTGCTAACTTTCAGTATTGATAAAGTGTGAATATTGGCTGGCAATATCAGCCAATATTGACATATAGGACTGATACTGATTATCTTGATAAATGACAAATATCAGCCAAACATTTTTAACCAACATTTCTTTTTACTTAGCTAGCTAGTTAGCTACCTCAAAGTCATCATCATTGCTACCATAGCTAGCAAAAACAATGACTATTATGTGCTACAAAAGAGAGGCATTTCTCAGAAGCATCATAGAACAAAGATTATCTTAACCATTAGAGAGACCATTCTGTACTACAAAATGGGCAAGTTTCATAAACACGTTTTAGTGCAAAGATCATCACCATAGCACAAAAATAATCAAATAATGCTTCCTTTATGAATAGAAATGTGCTTTCTCCTGCCATGCTGTATTTTGGAAATGCCAGCGTTGGTGCTTTGTGCATCTACCTGCAACACAACGTGAGAGCGTGCAACCCAGAAGTATGAGTATTTTGCCCCCCCAAAAATATGAGAGAACAAATTTCTTTCCCTGTGGCATTATTAAAGCCAATGTTCCATTTTGGGGATTTGCAGAGAAGGGAGTTCATATATCATCACCGTTTGTTTGCTGACGCAGGTGGGGTACACTCCTGACTGGATCTTTCTGCTGCGTAACGTGATGCGCATCAGCCCAGAGCAAGGTCTGCAGTTCTCTCAGATGCTGGTGCAGGATGAGGAGCCCCTGGCTGACATCACGCAGGTCAGGTCTTTTAGGGTCTTCCCACTATATCGTTAATAAAATCCCATGCCAGGAACGGAGAAATAGAGTGATGGTCTTCATGTTTGTTACTCACCCACACATATGCTATAAGAAAACTGTTCCACCCTCATGCTTGCAGATAGTGGACGTGTTTATGGAATACAACCTGATCCAGCAGTGTACCTCCTTCCTGCTGGATGCTCTGAAGAATAACCGTCCCACTGAGGGACCCCTGCAAACCCGCCTTCTGGAGATGAACCTGATGCATGCTCCACAGGTATCTAGTCATTTTACTGACATGTCTGAGACCTGTCTAAAGGTTTCTCGGTGTGAACTGCTGTAGGACTTTGTGTTTCTTGAAGCTGCCTTTGATGTAGTCTTGTTGATTTAGGAAGTGTGTGTTTGCGTCACTCAGGTTGCTGATGCCATCCTCGGGAACCAGATGTTCACACACTATGACCGTGCCCATGTGGCTCAGCTGTGTGAAAAGTCAGGGCTGCTGCAGCGTGCCCTGGAGCACTACACCGACCTGTATGACATCAAGCGGGCCGTCGTCCACACCCATCTGCTCAACCCTGAGGTGGGCACCGAGCCACCATCATGCCCATGTTGATGTCAGCCAGCCCCACCCTGCTCATGACCCCCCCCCCCCCCCCACTTCTTCCTAGTGGCTGGTGAACTACTTTGGCTCCTTGTCTGTGGAGGATTCCCTCGAGTGTTTGAAGGCCATGCTCTCAGCAAATATCCGCCAGAACCTGCAGATCTGCGTCCAGGTGGCCTCCAAGTACCATGAGCAGTTGGGCACGCAAGCACTCACTGACCTTTTTGAGTCCTTTAAGAGCTTCGAGGGTATGGTTATCCACCCTGGTTGAATTTTATATATATAGATTATGTATGAACTATAGATTGATAGATCGTAAAGGATATATTTAAAAAATATATAAATGTATAGGAAATACATATTTTAGCGGATCTACTGCCAGTCCCTTATGTATTACTTGTGGGCAGTGTGTTTTAATTCACATTTTATTACATATGTAGACAAACACACACATGCAGTCTATATATATGTATATATAAAGTGTGTGTTTGTATGTGTGGGAGAGAGAGAGAATGCGCATGTAATGTGAATAAAAACACACTGCACTTTTATGCAGCTATGTCAGTGAGATAGGAAGATTCTGTGCCACATTGGCATACAACAAATGAGATCTTTTGTGCAACTTGTCTCTAAACTTGAGCCGATTGGTTGTGTTCCAGGGCTATTCTATTTCTTGGGGTCTATTGTGAATTTCAGCCAAGATCCAGAAGTTCACTTCAAGTACATCCAAGCCGCATGCAAAACTGGCCAAATCAAGGAGGTGGAACGGATCTGTCGGGAGAGCAATTGTTATGATGCTGAGCGTGTGAAGAACTTCCTAAAGGTGATAGGCATTCATTTTCCTGTCTTTCATCTCATTTGCAAAACCGTTTGCATGATAGCACAGTAAGTTGACTGGCGTTTCCATACTCTGCCACAGGGTGGTGGTGCTGTTCTAAAATGAGTAAAGATCCCTGTCTACATGAAGAAATGTGTAAATCAATAGTAATTATGTATAATTATCAGATGCATATTACTTAGCCCTAGAAATAATTTAACTAGAGTAAACTTACTATTAATTTTTATTTCTCTGCTGTAAATGTATATTAAAAACTCACAGTATTTGATTACATTTTCCGTTTTACACTACATTGATATATCAATTGGTTCTAAACTAAGGAGACTATTATGTTTGAATAAATGATTTGTTCAAAATAATTCTAGTTAATTTTACTTTACTTTCTGTTTTTTTTGTTCTTCAGGAGGCAAAGCTTACTGACCAGCTCCCCTTGATAATCGTGTGTGACCGCTTTGACTTTGTTCATGACCTGGTCCTTTACCTCTACCGCAACAGCCTACAGAAATACATTGAGATATACGTGCAGAAGGTATGTGCTAATTCCTGTTGTAGTTTTGACCTGATGTTTTTATGCATTCAAGCAAAATGCTATAAACCGCGCATAGAGACAAAGAAACTGAAAGTTATTTATTTAATCATTTTGATATATAGGTAGGTTCATAGTTTATTTGTTTGACTGGTTCCAGGTAAATCCAAGTCGCCTGCCTGTGGTGATCGGAGGGCTGCTGGATGTGGATTGCTCTGAGGATGTCATCAAGAACCTCATTATGGTGGTGAGGGGCCAGTTCTCCACCGACGAGCTGGTAGCTGAGGTTGAAAAGAGAAACCGGTATGTGCAGTTACCTCTAGTGAGGATTCTGCAGTATTTGCATCTTGGTGCAATACATCTCTTCCGTGTCAGATGTATCCAAACTGGATGTGCTGCATATTCCCAATTTATATTATTTTGACACTGCCCACTTGTGGTTGTTGCAGGAAATAAATAATACTTCATATGTTTGCTCTAATGTACTTTCCAGGCTAAAACTGCTGCTGCCCTGGCTGGAAGGTCGCATCCATGAGGGCTGTGAAGAGCCTGCAACACACAATGCTCTAGCTAAAATTTACATTGACAGCAACAACAATCCAGAACGCTTTCTGAAGGAGAATCCCTACTATGACAGCCGAGTGGTGGGCAAGTACTGTGAGAAAAGGGACCCCCACCTGGCCTGTGTTGCCTATGAGAGGGGACAGTGCGACCAGGAGCTCATTCATGTGAGTCAATGCAATCAGCTATACTACAAACATAGTCTTAAACAAAGCCGTTGAGTGTTTCTCTGCAATGTCTGAACACATATGTAGTTTGTCTGCTCAGTTATGGTGAAAATTATGACCACGATTATTTTGGTTGATATTGAGATCACAATTATTTAAAGTGAGTACTCATTCACTTTGGAAATATGCATTTTTTGAAGTTAAAACTTGTCTTTTTAACAGTGGATTTTCTTAGTTTCTTAATTTTCTTAATTCAGCTGAGAAACAAAGAAAAAGGGGCTAGAAAGGGGAGCTCTGGATTCATAACACAAATTGGGACAAAACCAGAACATCATTGCAAAATGAAATGCAGCACAATCATCGTTTTATCTTGATTTATTTTTGTTTTGATGATCACTGGAAGCTAGGGCTGGGCGATATGGACAAAAAGTCATATCGCAATATATTTTAGCTGAATGGCGATATACAATATATATCTCAATATTTTTTTGAAGTGGGGAAAAAATTCAGTTGTAAGTCAAAGCAATGCTTGATGTCTCAACAAAATAAATTTCACAACAAATTAACATATATTATATAATTAACAGGTCTACAGTATCTGAAAATGCATTCAGTAACAGTGCAATTAAGCTACAGATTAAGAACGCAACACAAATGTTCATCCATCCATTTTCTGAAGTCCCTTGTCCTATTCAGTATCACGGGGGGTCCGGAGCCTATGGGCACAAGGGAGGGAACAATCCGGCGCCAACCCATCAGAGAACACACACACACACACACACCCCTACCTACAGGCATTTTGGCAAACTCCATTTAGCCTCATCATGTTTTTAGTCTGTGGGGGGAAACCAGAGCACCTGGAGGAAACCCCACAACAACACAGGGAGAACATGCAAACTGCACACACATGCAACCCTGGTGGAGACTCAGACCCGGGTCCCAGAGGTGTGAGGCACCAATGCACCACTTTGCCACCCCCAATACAAATATCAACAAAATATTTAAATGTAAACCAAAATTGTCAGGTCTAACTGTTCTGCAAAAATGTTTGAAATTATATGAAAGTGTAGCCTACAACACAAATATAAAATAGGCAAATAATGACCTGTCACTTACATGCTCTCCATCTTTTTAACAAACAAGTTAATAAACCGTAGCCCAAAACAAGTGCATTTAGGTTTTCCTTAACAAAATATTGTATACAACTGCAAACAGAAGCTTGTAAAGTCAGCCTATCTTCCGAAGTAAGAGGTGGTCTTATCTAAGCATTTCATTCTAGCCTAAAGATTTGGTAGTACTTCCCTTCAATCCACTATTTACTCAGTCAAAATTGATTTGATACCCAATGACAGCATGCATGCACACTAGTGGGAGTGGGGTTAGCCCCGTCACAGCATGCATGCACACTAGTGGGAGTGGGGTTAGCCCCGTCACAGCATGCATGCACACTAGTGGGAGTG